AGATTCTTTCAATCTCCAGTTTTGAGTAATGAAAGGGAAAATTTCTATTTAGTTTCTGAATTAAACTGCAACCTCTTTTTAAATAAAAGGTCTGGTTTCTTTTTTTACCTCAGCACCACAATGGAAGGGTACCGACTGGAAAGACACTTTAAGCTGAATACTCTTAAGCAGAAATCTGCACTGCTGGACGCATGGGCTTTTATTCTCCTGATTCAGTAATAAAGCCTGATGAGTAGATATTGAGTGATGAGGATCACACCCCTCTCAAAGTGACTCTGGCGAATGGTAAAGTTGCTGAAGAGTTACATAGATATTGATTCCAGCTCACCATTGAAATGGATGGTGAAATTTCCGACTGGCAGATAAAAACAGAGAAGCTTACAAAAAATACCAACTCCACATCTTTGAGTAAAGTCTAGAAAGAAACTATCTGTATAGATGTATAAGTCATTCATAAGCAGACCAGCAATCGTGGATAGTTTCTAGAGCATTCACACAGAATGCTTCAGGACAGCAGTCTCTCCTTTTCTCAAATAACTATTATTTTTCATGATAGATGTTATTTTACTCGACTTTTAAATTATATCTATTATGACATATATTTACATTACAGGTTTTTAGCATAGTAAATAAAATAAATATTTTTCAATATTGTTATTTGATACGTAAATTATAAATAATGACAAGAAAGTGAAAATAGTAATATCTATAACATGCGAAACTTTCACAAAATATATCCTTCGTAAGTTTTGAAAACAGAAATAACATAAATTTCATCGAATAGAATAACATTTGGATATGCTCATGTGACAGAAGAAACAATTATAGTCTTGATTTCTTAAATAAGAATATAAATGACAGAGTTGACCTGCATATAAAGCTACCCACGTTTCTTAAGATATTTTATGACGCAAAACAGCTAATTATTAAAACTATTTCATATATATGAGCTTGAATGATTGAAGATAATTAAATGATTTAAGTTGCTGCTTCGAGGTGAATTGTGGAAATATGTTTTCGTTTAATTCACAGGTGATGAATTATCATGTTTTTTTAAATGTTAAGTTGTAGATATGATTATAAGGAGTATATGTTAAGCGAAAAATAGAATTTCATGCATGAGCGAGTATAGTAAATATTTGACTAAAATTTCAGTTAAAAGCTAACGTAACTTACGTACGGTTCAACAAAGTTCAATGCAATTTAATTTAATTTTAAGAGCTATGCAGGAAAGTAAAACGTAAATACTAATATATGCTGCACTTGTAATCAAGGAATTTAGGTTGTCTAAGAACTTTTAAATTAGTTTTACGATTTATGACTTCTTTGCTAATCTTCCAAAATTACTCATTTTGCTCAAAATAAGCCTAATGAATGAGCTTCTAATTTTTGATATATGGAACTAAAGTATTGAAACTGAAATCGAAGAAGTGTATATTTTCTGTGAAATGAAAGGTAAACTTAAGTATTCAAAATTACTAAAATGACAGAAATAGGCGACTATTTCTTCAAGTAAAATATTGAAACTGAAATCAAAGAAGTGTATATTTTATGTGAAATGAAAGAAAAAGTTAAATATTAAAAATTGCTAAAAGGACAGAAATAGGCAGTTACTTCAAAAGTTGCCTATTTCTGTCATTATGAGTTTATATAAGAAGCCTTAAGTAAATGCAATTAAGTGCTGACTCCAAAAAAAATTTATTTTATGGTCATCCAATTATATTGTTCTTGTAAACTTATGGACAATCTTCTAATAGAAAAAGCGACTTAAAGAGAGTTACCAAGGCAACATATCTGGGAAACGATAATGAAAAATCAAAATAGGCGCTTTAGAGGAGGTATGAAAGAAAAGAATATTATCATAATTTAGTGAGAAATACTGGTTAAAAGAATCGCTTATATTTAATCTTTCACACCTCAGACACCATTATTAAGATATATACCTAATTATACGAAAATATATTTGCTATATTTTAATAAAAATAAGTAACCTGTCTCACGCAGAAATTCATTTGCCATTTATAAAATCATTAACTGTTGTAGACTGTATTGATCGAAGTAAGAAGTATAAGATCAAAATAAAAATCGTGACTGAAACTGCGAGTTTTATGATCCACTTATGGGTAGTAGAGTCTTAAAATCTATTCTAGGATCGTAAAAGTGTACCGCTTGTATGTATAGAATATTACCTTTCCAACCGAAGAACTTCTTTAAGTAGCTAGAGGTATCGAATTATATTTTCAAACCATTGGCCGTTAAAGTTTAATAAGCTTAATTCAGAAGCATAGTGATGCATTTGCTGTAAATACTTGTGGGAGTCAGTGGCACTGTTATGGTTCCCAATTTGTTCCCGAGTTTTCTTGGAAGAGATAAAGAAGACAAATGGAGGTTAGTGTTCTTATCACGGCAAGGTATTCAGATAACTAGCATACTACAGCAGAAGCATAGACGGTAATGATATTTCATCGGTGATATCGTATTGGTGATCCATCAAACTTCCTTGTCCTAAAGTGGTAACGATGTCCCAGAGCACAAACGAAATTGTTTCGTGATTCTTAAGAAGAATAGGAACTCAATTATCTTTCCCCAATTTCCCTCGAAAATTCAATTTTCGACTGTGGTTCGATAGAATCTAATTATAGGGTAATAAGGATATCTATTTACGAGCTTCCATATTTTTTAACGTTATTTGAGAATTATTGGAAAAATAACTTCTGTTATATAACACTCCTATCAGCTATAAATTGTTTCAAAGTAAAAATGGTAAGTTAATAACTCATATCCAAAAGAGTTAAAAATGAAAATAATATCAAATGTTTTATTAACGAACATATGTATCAAACATTAATACATATAAATTTAAAAAAAAGAAAATTGACGATATAAACATGAAATGTTTTATTTATGTGTTTTTACAGCTATTCACGTTTATTTATGGAAATTTTTTAAACTTAAATTTCAGTAAGTTCCACTCCAACTATGTGTATTTTGCCTAACTATGTGTATTTTGCTAAAGCAATATAAACCTAGAAGTATATTTAGACCAATATTCTTTATTCCTAATAATAATCATAAGCTCACATATAAGTCTAAAATTCAACACGGAAACTGTTTGCACCTGTCACCCTCGCCTGCACTCAGACGCGTTTGTTTCATCATGTTAGAAATATATTTCTCATACTTTAGGGAATTCAAAATGTGAAACTATCGTTTACTATTGTATTATTGTAAGTTAGGGAAAATAAAAAAAAAAAAATTCTGTCAGGAATCTCTAGAGACTAAGCAGTACAAGAATTACTCAAGATTCTGTTCTAGAGTTGTAGATACTGACTTCAGAAGAAGCGACTGCAGACAAGAAAAACCAAAATGTTGTCCACTCTCCATTAAAGATGGAGTCAGTACGTCAAATAAGTACGAAGGACCATCGGGAAAAGTTTCGTTAAAGGAGAGTATAGAAAGATTTCCTGTTCTTTTATCTGTAATCCTCCTTCGTGATCAGGTAACCGGTCGCTTGGCAACGCCAGAAAAAAGTGCAGCGTCATCGATGATTTCGATACGATTTAGCGGAGACGAGAAAAAAATCTGGAACGTAGCAAGTCACGTAAAAAAACGCCTTAAGTGTAATGGATATCCCCAATATTAAGAAGGCCAATGAAAGTTCTTGAAGAAAGTCTGCAATTTCCTCTCGGAAAATGACTTTTCTTAACATTCGGCTACCGAAATCAGAGTACAAGAATAATTTCTTTCCTATTAGAATTTAACATAGAAACCAATAATAATTTCACACACACACGCAAAATTGATGAATATTTTACACAATTTTTTATTGAAAAATAAATTAGAAGAGAAAATAAACATTTACATTAATTTAATTCATGTAAATTAATATATGATAATGAATTGAAAGAATTAATAATATCACAATCATTTCGATTATAACTCAATCATTTTATAGAATAGTGTACGGGGTGGTCATAAAAAAACCTGGATGTATGAAACCCTATATCCTCTCTACCAATCGGAATGAAATTTCAGATATTGTTATTTGATTTTCAGTATGTAGTTTGTGATGATTTAAAACAACAAAGCTTAGAGATCTAGGTTCAAATTCAGACAATACGATTCAGTGCGGATTTATGAGTTGAAAAGAGGACTTAAATTCACTAATCAAGTCTTTTTGGGGAAACTAAGGCTGTTACAGAATCTCACAAATAAAGAAGAAGTACAATGTGAGGATCCAATTTCCCTTCTGTTGCATGGCACCAATGATTTAGAAACATTTACACCCGCACAAGTTTTAGTCGGAAGACCTTTAACATCTATAACGGAGTGTGATCTTACTGATTTTTCTGATAATTCTTTAAAGCGCTGGCAGCGCGTTACTAAAAAGACCTAATATTTGTGGATAAGGTGGCAAAATGATTACATCTGTCATTTACAGCAACGTTTTAAGTGGTATTTTTCTAAGGGTAAACGTTAAAAAGGGCGCTGCAGTTTTAGTAACGGAAGACAACATGCCCTTTTCAACTTGGTTACTGGGGAAAACAGGAGAATTAATTTATGGTAAGGATAAAAAGGTTAGAGTCTGTATTGTAAAAACAAAGTCAGGTCTTTTAAAAAGGCCAATAACTAAACTATCTGTACTACCAGTAGATGTTACATAAGTTCAATGTATATTTGCTGAGTTAGAAAAAAATGTTCCTTATGCATTGTATTTGAATTCATATTTTGTGCATTGCAAGTAGTATCTAATTATGCTTATTGTTTTTGTTTAATTTAAATTAAAATTTTTAAAATTTAAATAAATTAAAATTTTTGTGATATATGATCTAGACTATATAGTGATTTAAAACTGTTTAATTTTAATCATTGTTAACTGTGTAACAAATGCCCAACCTGGGCGGTATGTTAATGCAGAAGTGAAGTGACGTTAAGATCTAATGAGAATATTGTTTAACTAGAATGATCTGGCAACCATGAGAAAAAAGAACAACGTGGAAAAGCTAGCCGCCATAGCTTGTGTGAGTGTGAGCTGGTAATTCAGGTTTGTGAAATGTTAAGTTGTGGATGGCAAGAGTGTCTATCCGAGTAGGATATGTAAGTTCTCATACATGTGTGTATAATTCTGTTAACAGATGTAATAGTAAAATTTCTGAAGTCCATTAAATTTATTTGTGAAGTTCATAAATATCTGTGTGATTAAATTCTATTCTCGAGTAGATACTATTAGAGTTTTGGTTTCATAAACATCTACATCACAACTGATTTTCGTCCCATTCAGATAACTTCTTCTAGATGCTCTAGACGCGGCGCTTTTAATGTTATTGAGTGTATCTTTCCGTTATCCTAATCGGCACAGTGTGTATTAATGGATACTTTTTAATATCTCAGAATAAGCTTCAAATCATTTGATTACGTATAATATATGTGACAGAAATTCAAAGGAAAGTGGAAATTTTATTACTGCTTGAATAAGTAACATAACGGTGGTCTTTCAAAATCTTAATGAATTTAAGATAAATTTAAGCATCAAATATACATACAAACGGTACGAAACAAAAATGAGGAATGTCAATAAAGCTAATAAAAAATATAAGGGAAATTTTATACTTAATTTTAAAAATCATATTCGATATATTAATTCTGCCATATATGGGTAATACTGATTATTTCTTTATTTATGAGATATTCCTTAAGCTCTAAATTTACACCAGTTAGGAATTAAAGCATAATTCATTTCGTCTGAAGAAACGTCTGATTCTCGTTTTTATCCTTGATAAAAATGCATTTGCATTCTGAAGTTCCTATGATATTTTTGGGTACATTTGATGCTTGTATCCTATTACTTGAATAGCTGTTGCAGTAATTTAGCCCTAACTGAAGCCGAAAAATATCGAAATGCGAAGAAGTACAATTACTGAGACTTTTAACTCTGTTCTTTTAGATTGAGTCTAAGCTGATGATGAGCAAAAAAGTCGATTCCAAATTACAAGGGTACTTCCTTGTAATTCGAGAATTTTCGATTTAAGTATATGGTAAAGAATAAAAGCGGAGTATTTTACTTTTTATTAGGATTAGACGATTTTATCTTATTCTTGATGAGGATCTTACCTTTTATTAGGCTTTAAGAAGCAACTATTGTAATACAAAAATTCGATTTAGCTGTGATAATGTATAATATTTATTTTTCTATCCATTATTTTTGACAGATTTTTTTAAACTTTCATTATCGTAACTTTTATTAAAGCTGGAAAATTTACTGAACGACTTAAGTGTATAGTAATTTAAATAATATAATATCATTCGTCTTATATATATTTATAATGTTCTTCGTTCATTCGGTTTGCAATGTATTGCGTTTTAAGGAAATTTTTGTAACTTCTCTTTCTACCATATATTAAACATGGAAGTGCTCGAGTTATCAATACAAGTTGGTAGGTACCAGGTATCGTTGGTATAAAACGTTCGTGTCGTAGTCTTCAGCGAGAAATAACGACCTAATTATTTCCTACAAACGTATTTTATTCAGCAAAATAATCTCATTCAGCTTCAATTACACGTTCCCAACGAGTTGCAAGCTTAGTAATCCCGCATTTGTAAAAGTTCTTGTCCATACAGGGAAAAAATTGTCCTGTGGCCTTCGTGATAACATCTCAGTTTCGGAACCGTTCCTCACGCATATGTTTATAAATGGCCAAAATCTGCTGCTAGTCAGAAGAAACAATGTTGGAACAGGTTTAAACTTCCCAACCAAGTGTGTTGATCACCTCCTTGGCTCCTTTCGCCGTATGAGGTCTGACGTTCTCTTGAAGAATAATTACTCCTACTGATCAGTGCTGGTTGCTTCCGACGCAGTGCATCTGCAGCCCTTTTCAGTTATGCGAAGTATGAGGGAAACGTCTGTAAAAGTATGTCTGAAATGTTTCCGACCTCAATATGTAGATATCAACTCAAATCAACCGAAAGAGGCGGGACTGGTTTGGGCATCACTTGATAACTGCCAGTCAAAATTTCTGCTATTTTGAACTCGAATTGTTTTTTTGACAGTTACTTTTGTGAGTTAATGTGACCGTTTTTACAAAAATGGAAAAACTCGAGTATTGTGCTGTCGTTAGGTAACTGTTTTTGAAAGGTAATACGCCAACTCAGATTAAAGAGTAGTTGGACACAGTGTACGGGAACTCTGTTCATCATTTACTATTGTGAAAACATGGGCAGCTAAATTTAATGTACTAGCTCGATGACGCTAAACGTTCGGTATGCCCCAAAACTGCAACCACTAAAGAAAATATCACTAAAATCCACCGAATGTGGCTGACGACCATCGAATCAAGGTTAGAAAGATAGCAAAGGCTATTAGCATGTCCAAAGAACGTGTTTGCCACATATTGAACCAAGATTTAGATATGCGACAGCTGGCTGCACTTTGGGTGCTGCATTTCCTCACTTTGGACCGAAAACGTGTTTGAATGAACATTTGAGCCACCCTGTTGGCGCAATAAATGAGGATTTTCACTATTAAACACTGTAGATGCTACTGGGATTCATCATTACAGCCCAGAAACAACCACACAATCAAAACGGTGGACTGCAAAGGAAGAATCGGCTGCAAAAATTGCCAAAACTGTTTCTTCTGTTGGGAAAGTGATGGCAACAATTTTCTGGGACAGCCATGGAATTGTCTCAATAGATTACCTTGAAAAGGGAAAGTAATTATCGGAGCATACTATGCTATGTTACTTGAGAAGCTAAAGGCAGAAATCACGGAAAAACGGCCACATAAACAAAAGAAAAAATTTTGTTTCACCAAGACAGTTCTTCATCTCACACCTCAGTGGTTGTAACAGCAGAAATCCATGAATTGCGATTTGAGCTGCTTGACCACTTGCCCTATTCGCCCGAGACAACCTAAGTATACCTCAGCTGTAATGGTTCTGCCACTTTCTAGCAATTCAAAGTTCACAATACAAGCGAAGGTCCACTAAACACAGTACCTTTTGTTGATGAATGTTTCATTTGGGCACAAATGATACAGAATCAGGGGCGATCATTAATGTTTTCTCTTACAGTTTCGATATTAGATCCATTTCTCGTCACAATTTAATATCTGGTCCAAGAATGGGGCTTTTTTATGGCGTGACAGGAACGAAGAGAAAATGTTTGAGCCGCTGAAATTTGGTTAACCTCGGTTCAAACGTGAGGAACCCATTTACTGACTTTCTATACCTATCGAAGGATGCGCAGATGCAGTTTAGTGGTTTTGTTGTGTAATGAAATACCTGAGTTTATTGGCAAGAGAATTAATTATCGTAATTGTAATTATTTGGAAACTATAATTATTCCAGTGTAATTTTGTTTTTTTTTATTAATTGATTTAATACGGGTTTTCTATTTCACTAAATTCTTGTCTGAAAACCAGTGCTTCAATGCTATTTTGGTTTGTTAAATTTTTATTGTAAAAATGTGAAATTAAGGAAGTAATTTTTGTATGTAATGGTAATCAGGAGGGCTGGCAAATTTTTACTGCGCTATTTTCGAAATTCAGGAATACAGCAGAATTTGTTCGAGAGCATTTTAATTGCATTATTTTGCTCGGGGATATTGAGTAAGTGTCCTCCTTCAGTAAAGGTTAAGGGTTAATATTAGATTACGCTGGAAGGTCAACGAATTTGCTTACGGCAGTGTCCACTTTTAGCTTTCGAGCTTACTGGCCGAACTTGCGCAAAGGATTGTTTCTGATTAATTTGGCGGAAAAGTGGTATTAGTTGTGTTTAGGGGTTGCGAAATTCTGGTATCTTGGTTTTTATTGTGATCGCGCAAAGCAGTTCGTGCGATCGTCACTTTTCGACTGGCTTTCATGTAAGTAACATCTTCAAATGCTTCCGAACAAGACGTACCACTGGAAGTTCAGTGATCTCGTCACGTTTTGCTGAGCTTTGAGAGCGAGGTGGGATAAAATGCTTCAGATTACTATTTTTTCTCTGAGAATGCTATTGACGAAAATACTTTTGTGAATTTTCTGCTTGGATGAATATAAGAAGTACAGAAATTCGTCGGTTGAGTTGTTCTTCTCGAAATGGAAAAGTTACCTCCTGTTGGTCCAGTGGTTTTATCATCCCATGATGGTTCTGAATTATGCCTATGTCCCATTTACCAACGTTACACCGATACGTAATCTACTTGCTGGCAGGAACCATGAGCGTGCTCTTCTCATTCCTGGTCTGCTGTTCCGAATTCCGGATTTCCTAAAAATCTGAGTTGATGATATTCCTCAATAGTTCGCCCGAGTCTACAGATTTCTTCGAAGGGTCATCCAACAATTTCTTTAGAAGAGATGGATGAGTGTTTTCATTTTCCTTTTCTTGTATACCCAGTGGTTCAGAGGAAGGAGCCCTTGCCTGATTCAGTTTCAAATCACCAACGTCCAGACGTTTCCTTCCAGATTCGTTATTTTTTCGTTTATTTTTTTATTTTTTTGTTTAGTCTAGAATCTTCTTAAAGGATGAAATCTGTTGAAGGTTTAACTTGTGAAACCTCCTGATTCTTGAATTAATATAAATAATGTTTTTTAAGAACTAAATTAATTAATCTAAAAGTATTTAGGGAAAGACCTCTTTTGCCTGTGTAGCTGAAGATAAAAATCTACTCTTGAAAGAATAATTTAAATGTTTTACTCTATTATAGCTGACGTCATGTGTTCAAAATGTATAATGATGTACTGTAGTAGTTCTTCTAGTGAACCAGGTACATAAAAATATGAGTTTTAAATTTTGTACCCAATCTGTTTATCTTTTTCAAAAATATTGCTTAATTAAAGGTTTTCCTTGTAAGAAAAAAAGAGTAACCATCTTTAAACGTTTTAATAAAATGGATATGAAAGGAGCTTAGTTTAGACTGTCGATTGTTTGTTTTATTCTAATATTATTATATTATAGGTTCTCTTAAAGGGTCATTTAACATACATTTCAACATGTTTGTTACACATATACTTCAGTAAAGTTAACTTAAGGTTGGAGAACTTTAATTCAATATGTGTATGGTCATTCAATTGGCACGAACCCGGCATACTAAGCACAATGCAATTACTTCACATAGTC